ATAACCCCTATAGTTGTCCCCTATAATATGCCGGATAGAAACCCCTTTAAGGAGTGCAGACGGTAGCACAAATCATTCTTGCTGTTCTCAGTCTCAACCGAGGCGCACAGGTTCCATCTTTACCGGATCCGCAGTAGCAAACTGCCAGCTGCAGGGCCTTAGCATTTAAAGGGTCCAAGTTCGCAAGGTCACTGGGCTGCTGTTAAAGAACCACCCAAGGGCTCCTATGTAGTTNNTTTTGGTAAGGGATTACAATATACTACCCAAAAAAGAACTACGTAGGAGGGTCTGGGTAAACTTAAGTAACTATAATGAGGAAACCCGATTCTGAACCATATACCAAAAATTATGCTATCTTAAACCCCGAGAGCCTTGTAAACTTAAACCCTATATCCATAATCTGGCATCTTACACCCTAGACCCTAAATCCTTACATACCCATATTAGGCTAACTGGATTCAACTCTCTTAGCAGCAACCCAGGCCCCAGCTTTGGACGGCAGAGGCTAGTAGCGAATAAGGGAATAGAAGGGGATAACATACGGGAACATGACTACAGAGGGATTATGCAGGAATAATACATGGATTCTGTAGGGATTCTACATGGGCAACATGGGGATTACGTAGGGATTTGATAGCAGATTCGGCCAAAGGGTCTGCTCTGCGCATCGGCGATGGCGAATGGGGCGGCGGTAGCCGCCCGAAAGGATCAAGGCCGCAGACACGCACGTCAGCAAGTCTAGGGCCTCATCGTTCTGATGACTTGATTATGGGTGGAATCCCAAAATTAGGGGTACCTTTCAAGGGGTTTATAGGGTGTATATATATATATATAGGATCAGAGGCTCCGGCCTCATTGGACAAAAAAAGCACCGAACTCTTCTGCTGCGACATCTGCCCCAGCAAGCTCTAGCAAAAGCCCTAAACCCTTCAAATCCTAAACCTTAAACTCCGAACCCTAAACCCTGAACCCTAAACCCTGAACCCTAAACCCTGAACCCTAAACCCTAAACCCTGAACCCGAAACTCTGAACCCTAAACCCTGAACCCTAGCCTGGAAGATGCAGCTGACGGCCAAATCCTGTTCACTTCGGTAGCCGCGGCCATCCAGGAGCTTCTCCACTGCAACGGGAAGCAGAGCTGAGCCTGGGCTTTTAGGATTTGATTGTTCTTTTTTATGGGCCTTTTTCCACCTGCCAATCCAGGTTTAGAATTTGATGGTTTAGGGCTTAGGGTTTAGGGTTCCGGGTGTAGGGTATGGGGTTTAGGGTTTGCCGTGATATAACGCTGAAGCAGAGGTGGTCATGCTACAAAGTCGCTTTGAGCATGTCGTGCTGTGCGACATGCTGCTGTGGCCTGACCGCGGCTGGCCATCTAACACATTCACCCACCCCATGCCGTCCCAAGCGACCAGACCACCCAAACCTATTCCTGTTAGGGTTTAGGACCTAAACTCAGTTAGGTTCATCTTGGTCAACAACACAACCTCTTTCTACAGCCAAGCTTCCTGCTTATCCTACTGGACCCGGCTTGAAAAGCCCAAGCAAACCTGGTTTCTTGGAACCCCTGAACTTCCTGGAAAGCGGAGACCCCCGCCCTGAAGGCCTCCAGGTCCTGGGAGGCCTATCATGGGTGCTACCGTGCCCATGGCTGCGCTGAGGCAGGTCCAGGTATGTCGGCCCGCGCCATCGAGGTCGAGGGGGCATGAGCGCCGCCCACCATCATAAATCATAGGTGGGCGGCCTGAGCATGAATTTAGGGTTTAGGGTTTAGGGCTTACGGATTAGGTTTTTTTTGCATCGCCCCTTTTGACTTGCCGCATGGCTGCCAAAGCTCACTGAGCGGGCGAAACTTGGTGTTCAACCTCAAACCTTGTTTATCGGCACAACCTCAGATCACATCATTGGGGGACTCAACGCCTGCAGCCACTTCCGAGACCAAAGCAGGAGAAAAATCTCGGTTTAGGGTTTTGGGCTTAGGCATCAGAGTGTAGGGTTAAGGGTTTAAAGGGTTTGCCGCTTGCGGCCAAAAGGGTTCAGGGCTTTACGGTTCGGGGTTCAGGGTTTCTTTGCAACGCCTCTTTTAATCGTACGCATACCATACAAAAAAGAGTCAGGATTTGGGGTTTGGGGTTCAGAGTTCAGAGCTTCGGCTTTGGGGATTAGGGATTATAGTCCCCCTTAAGTAGATGGAATATGGTTTTGGGTATATTATAATAACATCCCAATATACCCCATATCCTATCTAC